TGTGTGTTTACTGAAACATTTTATTCTCATAGATTTACCCAAGAAATTATAAAACTAAACTCAACAGGAATTAAAAGTACATCCAAGAGCAGATGAGCCTAGGTAAAGTCATGATAACTGATTTTCACAGGGAGTCGTAGATGTTAACACCTTATCTGTTTTTTGTTTGTTTTGTTTTGGAGACTCCTAGAGTAGACATCCATAGCTAATTTGGATTATAGATGAGCTAGGCTAAAGCAAAGAAGACTGCCTTTGCCTTTTGTTCTATTAGCTCTTAATTACCCACCTGGAACTATAGTTATGTTCCTTTAGCACTTAGCCTTTATTTTATTTTATTTTATTTTATTTTATTTTATTTATTTATTTTTTTGAGTTGGAGTCTCACTCTGTCGCCCAGACTGGAGTGCAGTGGCCACTCCCGGCCACCGCAGCCTCAACCTGCTGGGCTCCGGCGATCCTTCTGCCTCAGCCTTCCAAGTAGCCGGAATTACAGGCATGCGCTACCACACCCGGCTGATTTTTTTATTTATTGTAGAGATGAGGTCTCGCTGCCCAGGAGGGTCTTGAACCCACGGGCTCAGGCAATCCACTCACCTCAGCCTCCCAAAGGCGCAGGATTACAGGTTGAGCCACCGAGCCCGACTTAGCCTTTATTTTAAAAGTGTACATAATATTGTCCGCTTTGTGAAATAATGCTGAGCCATTTCTGTTATTGTAATGTCATTGTGAAGACAAAATTTTATGTCTCATAAATTTTGTCGTGGGTGGAAACATTACATTTGTTTTCCAATACATGGGAAGAGATGTTCAATTCTTAGTAACAATGGTCAATCAAAAGCTCTAGTATCCAATTCTGTTAATTTGAAGTGACAAAATTGATTCATGGGTATTATGTCAACAAGGATAAGCAATTGTGGTGAATAATAAAGGACACCTGATTCTTATCCCTTTGTTTTGCAGAAGTTGATAATATTGGAAGAGATAGAAATATAATAACTAATGGTTATTATCTATTTCCTAAAGAATGTGAATATAATACCATGCAGATATATGATTTTAGAAAGTGAGAGAAGAGGGAGGGAAGGAAGAGATTAAAATTATTTCAGTGTTGTGTTTCTTTTCTAGACCATGCATATGTGTCTTGCTTTTACATTTGTACCTTCAGCTTTACTTTTACATTGTTTTTGAACTTCCTTTGGTATAAAAACAAATGAAAAGAGTTCTTGAATAGAAAAGTTAAATATTTCATGATGTAAAGAGTATCCTGTAAGAATTAGCAATTGTCGTTTCTAAACACCATAGCCCCAGATTAGTCTTATTATCAGGCATGTTTGAGAAATGATGTATTATCTCTGCCTTCTTCACCCAACATAATTATTCTGCTTATAGTTATTTAGGTGTTATTAACATACTCAAGGGCATTGTAAGTTCACTATAGATATAAGCACTACAGGAATGTCAGTATTTTAACTTTTCTGGAAGGGTGATCTGTAGCTTTCACCCTATACTAAAATAATAATAATAGCAACACCAATACTTTTAAAAAATATCTCAAACTAAATTAAGAGTGATTATTGAATGTATTTTATTCTTCTTTTTTATTTTAAGCATCTAAACATCAGGAACTGTATTCATTACTAAAATGCACTTCCGTTAGCACTTGACAATTGTCCCCCTTTAAAATCTGTTACACAAATGGATTTTAAAATTGCGTGAAGCTGGCCTAATCCCTTAGACTCAGTACCCCACATCTACCTCTTTGGGCAAAAGAACTACAATCATTTACCTAAAAATTTATTTAGTCTTTTCCCCAAACTTTTATAAACTCTAAAGAAAAATGATCATAATTAATGGATTCAAATTATCTTGGGAATTCAAATTCTTTTAGGGATTTAAATAATCCTGCAAGTAAAGGGAAAGAATGAAAATGTCTGTCCCAGTTATGAGCAAGAAACAGTTAAATACCTGAAGAATTTAAATCATCTCTGACTTTGTCTATTTATAAAGATTCACTGTGCAGTGATCTCCACATTAAAACAGTTATTAATTTAAAAAGTGTAAGTGTACAGAGTCTTTGTGATAAAGATGTGACTCTTGTCTCTAAAAAATAACCTAAATGAGATGAAAAATAAATGCATGTAAAATATTAAGCCACTAATAACATTTCCTTGGTTGGAAAAGAGAAACTGCTATGGTTACATTTTTATATTATTTGACTTCCCTAAGAATTAGAATCTGAAGCAAATAGTAGCAGAAAGGAGGATCAAGGGGACAATGATACAAAGGTCCCTTCAAAATGGGGATAAAATCATCTAACTAAGTAGCATCTTGAAAAACACCTAGTAATATTGCCAAAGTGATTAGCAAAGATTAGCAAAGTATGATTACAATGTTACTGTATTTTTTATTAAAATATATGATATTTTTTATTTCATTGGTGCTTCTAGTATATAGAGAAGTATATATTTAAGTGAAGTTTGATAGTTAAAGAGAAAATGTTCATAATTTAAGATGAAACTTAATATATAATCCTATTGGTTAAAATACTACCAGTAATTAACCAGATGATAGTTATAAACAAAGTCTAAAGGTCTTTGCTGTAGATGTGCAAACACAGTTATTAATTCTTCATAGCTTTTGCTCCCTGTATCTTTTGTTAATAATGTTGCTTTTCTCCGCCTCCTCCTTTTCCTTTTCCTCTCCCTTTCCCTCCCTCTCCTCCTCCTCCTCCTTCTCCTGCTCCTCCATCTTTTTTAAGCTGTGTTAGCTATTACAAAACTATTATTCATTCCTATGGCTCTATGACCAAAAGGGCAGGGACCAAGAACAATATATAAGACCCCCCCCAACTCTCTTGCCAGAATGGATCATCCCATGTGTCACGGGGCCGCTATTTTACTCCCCAGCCATTTTAATCCACCTCAATATTCTTGTATGTGTTCTAGAACTTTCTGAGGCTCTCAGATGTGCTAGAGCCATAGTTTTCAACCCTTACTGTGCCTCCAAATCACCAGGGAGCTTTAAAAAAAATACAGATATCTGGGTATCACTTCCAGAAATTTCTGATTCACTCAGTCTGTGGCAGGACCTAAATGTTTTTAAAAGATGCTCAGGTAGCTCCAGTGTGCAACAAAGGACTGAGAATTACTTAACTCATTTAGGTGTATTTCCAGCCTAATTTCACAAGGCTTCAAAATAAGAATTTTGACGGTATTTTCAAGAACGAGAAATAATAACACCACATTCTCAATATATAAAATGGTATCTAAATAGTCTGAAAGTGTTTGTCCTCTTTGCACCCGAGATTTCTAAATCCAACAAACACATTGATAACTATTCAATAATGATTTCATGAAGGACTTAATTACCTAGACTGCCAGGAAATGCTTGACTACATACAAACTGTCATCAGATCTGATCCCAACAGATGTTCTTTTTCAGCACCTGTTGGAGTCAACTCTGCCACTGGCCCTTTCAATGGGATGGAGTTTTAATTTCCAAAAGTAGGGAGGCAGTTGGAATGCTAGAAATGCACATTTGCTGCTCTTGTTCCATTCCAGTAAACCATCTCCTAAAGCACTATGTTTATCTCTTGATTGTGTAGCTAAGGACAGAAGTCTACAAATACCGTAAGAATTGACTTAGCAGCCTTGTTTAAAGAGGTTTATTAGAGGGAGCTGATTTCACATAATCAGCCAGTAATAAAAACAAGGCTGTTTTTACCCCCTGAGGAGTCTGTCATTACTTGATTTTTTTTTTTTAAAAAAAGCAAAACCAGCATCAAAAAAACTAGAACTGTGGTTCTAAATTGAAAAATGTTGAAAGCTCACCTAGAAAGCGATTTCATATGTCCCCCAAGTGGAGAACCTATACTTGTGTTTGATTAGAATGGGAGAGCTAAAATGTTAAACAGCTTAATCCCAAACATGCCTGTGACTGATTCTGTTTTAAAAATGGACATAAGCAAACTGTGATTGTTGTTACCTCAAGTGTATTCATCATGTCTATCTATAGCATAGTACTGAATCAGGTATTGCTGGCTGAAGGTCATGGGTTATGCATAGCTGTTTGAATACTTTTATTTTTGAGACAGCTGAATTACTCCCTGACCTGACTTTAGTGAGTGGGCAGATCATCTTCATTTATGCCTTCCTGCCCTTTCTAAAAATAGTAAGACCTTTAACAAGAGGATATTTTAAGCAGCTCATATTCACTTGTCTCATCAGGAAAAGCTTACTTTGGCCACTTGCATGTGTCAGGTTTGCATGAGTCTATAGTGAGACTTCTAGTAGTCCACGCTTCACACCACTCATATAAGAAACTTACAAACACAAAGACATCGGGATTGCTAGCTGAGAGTTTTGGCTACACGTCAGTGGTAAACAAAAACGACGGAAAGATACTTTTTAGGAATGTGATTATGCTGCCGAAATCATCCATTCCAGACATTTGTACATCAGTTCTCAGCTTTCCGGATCTGTTTGCATAAAACCTGGCTGTGACTTTGCTCCAGAGACCTCCATGATCTTGCCGCTTCCAATAAATAATTATAGGAGGCGCTGCCAGGCTGTGGATAAGGGAAACTAATGAGAAACTGCCATCCTAAATCTGAACAGCAAAAACCAATCCAAGCAAAATCAAAAAATCCAAAACAAAACCAAAAAAGAACTACTCGAACAATCCGTGTTCACAAGAAGATGCGTAGAAAAATACCAAGATGTAACTTTGATTTGATAAATGGATGTATCAGTCACTTGCCTGGCATGCAGTGGGTACTTTGTATTTTTCTACAGTCTTTTTAAACCCAAGTACAAATTTGTGTTATTCTGCACAACTGGGACCAAAAAATTATGAGTGTGAGAAAACACAAACTCTAAAAGCAAGATGGAATTTAAGCAGGTAAACCCTGTTCCACAGTCATGTCATTCCGATGCAGTTTTACGTGCTACTCGTGTTTGCACCTCTAAGAAATTTCCATTTTTTCGCATAAAAAAATCCAGATATGAAGCTGAAGCTGCTTTCTTCGCCAACCTGAAGCTGTCTGATTTCAACATAATTGACACCCTTGGAGTTGGAGGTTTCGGACGAGTAGAACTGGTAGGTGATTGTTCTTTAAATGCTTTTGAAAGTCTCTTCCTTTTAAATTTTTTTCCCCTAGATTACGATTTCTTTCTTTTCTCTTTTCTTCTCTCTCACCATTAATTACTATTGCTCCTAAATCAGTACCAAATATTTTCAGATAGTCATGCTGGAATTTCCAAAAAGTGGGTTAGATTATACAGTCTCCAGACTAAAAACAAATAATAAATTACTTTTTAGAAAACTTCCTCTTATTAAGGGAAAAGTAAGCACATTCATTTAAAGAGGAGTCATAAAGCACTTTTTATATTCAGCTGATTTTCTATGATCTTTATTTCCTTAGTTCTGAGCAGTTATAAGCAATTATGCATCTTAACAACAATTGCAACAATTTACATGTAAATTTAAATGCATATAAAGGAAAATGAGAACTATATATATACACACATATATATATAATATGTGAAGTAAATGGTGTTGCAGTAGTAATTCTGTGATTCTTCAGTTGCAAGCACTTATTTAGATTATAGTGTTGATGGTCTGAATATTTTATATAGTTTATTTCACACACATTTTATATATATGTATGTGTATATATATGAATATATACAGCGAAGTGTCAATGAAGAAAGTGAAGACATAAAGTGTATTGCATACATAAAGTGTATTGCATGAATGTGGCATAAACAACATGAAAGTGTATTCTTTTGGCTTTGAAATACAAATTTTAAACTGACATATTGTAATAACAATCAAAAAATATATTCTGGCGACTGAGTAGCTGTTCACAACTGTGTGGATATAAACCCTATTTGAGGATGCATGTTCACTCCTCCCTCTCCTACTGCGCATGGAGGAATCCCTGATATCAGACACCAGTACAGTATGTTAGAAACTCTCTGAGACTGTGGACAGTGCAGTAAACAGTTACTGTTGCTATCAGGGTTCAGGAGAAATCTTCTTCCATAAAAGTAGATTGACCCAGCACTATTTTTTATATTTGTTCATTTGTATCGCAGTTGAGATTTTTGACATTGACAGGCAGAAAGATTTATTTACTTAAATACTAGACAAAAAGATTTTTGAGCCATAATGTGTCATTGAATTTGTATTATGCTTCCCTTAACATTGATTGGAGATACTATAATAACACTATTTCTGATTTGAAAGTCCATGGTGTGCCTCCAAAGAGCTGAGTATTATTAGTTATGGGAGGAAAAGAAATCAAATAAGGGACCAGAAAAGCCTCCTCCTTTTCTGAATTCTGCCATTAATGCAGCCTTAGACTTATTTTTCAAGGACTTTGTTTTTGTGGTGTGTTATCATTGTTTGTATAGCAAATAAATATTTATTAACAGCATTATACATGAATATCTTTGTTTTGGATGTGTTGGGACATATAGGCAGGGAAGAGGGTAGAGCTCCTTGCCAAAAAGGATTTATTTTCTGGTGTGTTTATTTGTAATTAGATATTTGTAAAATCCTCTGTGAATGAAGCAGTACAAGGAACATAATTATTTAGAGACTTATTTGATGACCATTTGTTATAGTTTCTTAAATATTATTTTTAAAGATGACAATAAAATTGCTGTTTGCATTGACAACAACCACAACAAAAATCAATATTACAATTCTGTGAACTCCTAGAGGTCTTATGATAACTTCAAATTGAGAACTTTCAAGCTACAAGTGAGATATTTTATGAAATATGGGAATTTACTTAGAATTTTTGAAATATTGAAAATAACTTACAGACACTGAAACCATTTCAAGCTAAACAGTTAAATGCCAAGCTCATAATGGAAAATTTCTAGAAAATTCCCTGAAACATGTATGAGAAGATAGACGCAACTAGCCACAAAGTTAGGAAAAGTTTAATGTGAGCATATAAAAAAATACAGTTTAAAAAGAAAAGTTATATATGTGTGCTTGTGTGTACATGTGTGTACATGCATGTTTGTATAGGCATGTGTATGTTCAAGTATATACATATATATTCTTCATCCCTGTAGAAATGCAAGAAGTTCAGCCTAGTTTTCAGCTCATGGATAATATAGTCTTCTACACAGATGTTTGCAGACTAATAAAAACCACAATCCTAAGAATTAATGTAGGCTGGAAATATAGTGCAGTTTGCATAAACTTTAGATAAACTTTATGAATGATGAATCCATAATGAATCATTGGATACAACTAAAACATTGGAGAAAGAGGCACATGTCCTTAATCTCTAAATTCAAATCAACCTGTGTTATCTCGCACATCCAAAACACACTGTAGGATAATCAGAGTATATTGTCTATATTGTCTTTACTACTCAATGTGGACCAGCCATTTAAGTGATTAATAATACCCTAGAATTCACTACTCACAATTGTTACCACTGAGTAATACCTGGTACATTAGTTATTGGGTATGAATAATATTCTGTGACTATTTACCTTTTACATGCATTCACTGATGTCCAAATTGGGAGTTTGGCCTGAACATTCTGACTGCAATTACACATGCTGTTGTCATGGATTATAATAAATGACCATGAAGTTAATGGTGTACTGTCAGAGTGGAACATGCACCATTCATAGTGAGGAATAGGTTAGTGGCAGGGCCTAGTTTTGCTGTGCTTACAGAGTTTTTCTCTTCACTCTCCTGTGAGAATGATGCATGCAAGTTAATCTTATCAACATTATAAAGTTCTATTTTTAAGTAATAAAATCTTCATACAGATTCATTTCATATATGTGTTCACAGTGTTCAACATGTTAATGTAAAAAATGTAATATTTATACATTGAACGTAGTTTAGCAGTATGTTGATCAGGTAAATGACATAGCAAAATAATGCAACAAGTTACACTTATATTTTACAAGAGTACATTTTAAAAAATTCCCAGGAATAAGATGATAAACCTGACAATGGGTATGAATAACTTAGAATTTAGAACTTTTTTTTTTTTTTTGAGTTGGGGCTCACTCTGTCACGCTGACTGGAGGGGAGTGGCACAATCACAGCTCACCACAGCCTTGACCTTCCAGACAGGCAATCCTTCCACCTCAGCCTCTGAGTAGCTGGGACTACAGGCATGTGCTACCACTCCTAGTTAATGTGTTTTATTTTTGTAGAAATGAGGTCTTGCTAGTTTGCCCAGACTGGTCTTGAACTCCTGGGCTTAAGCAATCCTCTTGCCTTGGTCTCCCAAATTGCTAGGATTACAGGCATAAGCCATCATGCCCAGTCAGAAATTTGTATTTTTGAACCACATTCCCTGTTAAAATGAAATTAAGAATATAGTTTTCTCATCACAACTTGACATACAGATTATATTTTGGTGACTTTATATAATGATACACGCTTCTCAGGCTTATTAACAGGTCTTAATTCTTATCATTTATGTCAATTTAGATATAGGAGTGTTTTTCAGAAGGGAGAATTTCTAAAGTTTATTGTCATTTTTTAAGATAAGAACATAATTTCTTTTCTGTTTCTATCATATACCATATTTTCTGCCCATGTTTTTTATTTTTAAGAATGAGTTTTCTAATGTGTTCAGTACTACTGGTTTCTAGCATGTCATTCAGAAGGACACATTTGTTTATAGTAACACTGTCAACAAAATAACTCAGCTCTCTTTTTATATACGATTTACTCATTGAAGCTGTAAACACTGCTATAAGATATTGAGGTAATCATCTTAATTTCGAAGGTATGACAGTAAAATAAGGAGATTGATTTTACGCATCACGAGTGAAAATTAGTCTCATTGCTTTACTGTCACATTACTAATTTACTCTATTTTTGTTCTTGTCAGAGATGGGCCTGCTTTTCAAAATGGATTTTCCCAAGTCAAAGACAAAATTGTTATTAATATGCTAATACTATGTCGTGGGTAGCTTAAATATTAAACATTTAATCTATTTATTTAGCAGTCAAAGTATCTTCTATAGCAGGGCGCCATACTTGGAGAAAATATAGGAACAAAAGTATGGGAGACATAATCTCTCTTCTTGGATTATATTCTTTCTACATCAGTTATCAGGTATATATCTGTGTAGTGGACTCTCTGCTTGAAGATAAAAAGTTTAATAGAAAATAGTCCCTAGTTCTAGGGACTCAAATTCTACTAGGAGGGTCAATCATATAAATTAGTAACTAAACCCATAAGCAAAGTATGGTTAGCCTGGGTTCAGTACATGGAGGAGGAAGACTTCTTGGAGGAGGTGGCATTTCTAAGGCAGAGGAAGAGTTAAGGCATCAACATAAATAATTTGGGACATACTTGATAAAAAAAGTACTGAAGGAACAAATGTTTATTAATAAATTAACATTACTTCTTTCACTAAAATAATCACGCTTTTATTTGAATTCTGCTTTATAACTTTGAATTGATTTAATGTCCAGTGTATGCTCTTGCCCTTGTAGCTGCCCTGGGAGGAAAGCATGAAGCAGGATCCACATTGAATATGAAAGAAATCAAGAATAATGCATATCAATAGTTTAAGGCCACCCAGTCATTGAAAGAGCTGTTGTTAAAACCCAGAATTACTGATTTTTTAACTAGAAGCTTTTTCTCTCATCCTGGCTTTTAAAAATATTAAGATCCTTACCACCATCCCTAACAGTCACCACCATGAAATCAAACAAGTGTGATTTTATTGTTACGTGTACATCTTTGCTTTAAACAATTTTTCTAGAATTCAAGAACCTGAATTAGACAGAAATCTGGACTAGATGTAGTGACTGTCTGCTATGCATGTCTGTTTCTGTCATATCCTCAGATGTTCCATTTTCTCTAAGGCTTTTTTCCTCCTATTTTAGTGGCAAAATATCTATGGAGGAAAAAATCAGACAGTATAGCATGGTGGCTAAAAGCAAGCTGTTTTTCCAATATAAGTAAAAGACAAAGGTCTTTAAACAACCTTCAGTGATAGCTTCTATTAAATTCCCTCAAACCACTAAAGCTCTTTACTTTCTGATCTGTCATGAGAGGAGATGGGAAACAATTTTCAATCTCCCCCACA